CTGCTCAGCCCAACATCCTCGAGCCACGCAACGAGATGTCTGAATTTGCCCTCGATGCTGACTCCCCAGATTCTTGGAAACCTGTTTGCCAAAGCGCGAGTTTGGACCTCGGAAAACTGCAGCTGCGCGTCCAGGAATGCAATCAGGTTGGTCTTCCTTGTTTCGACATCGCTGGTGAGAACTGCCTCAATTGTAAACGTGCTTGCCTGGTGTAGGTCTGGTGAAGATTCGGTTGCCCAACAAATACGGAGATTCTCGCACACCTCCTTCCGGAGTATGTTTCCACAACTTCCGAACAGGGCCTGTGCAACTTGTCGCACAACATGCATCAATTTCCGCACCTGGCCTGCGGACCATGTGTCTACCACAACTTCCTTCGAATTCTTCGTCATTCGCAGGTCTCGAGCAGCATGGCCTATACGCAAGACGCAAGAGCCCGGCGGTGCATACTCAAGCAGAGCTCTCGTCTTTCGCAAGTCCCTTTCCTGCCCCTCAGCTTCGTAGTGTCGAGGATACCCATCGTACTCGACAAACAAAGCTGCATCCTCATCCTTCAACACTCCAAATGCAGTCAGGTCGGGACACAGCCAGCGCGACCCCCAAGCCTCACAGGGCTCCACCGGAAAATCGCGGAAGAGCTCCCCGATGGGCTCCCCTGGCATCAGCAGCTCCGCCAGACAGGACAAAAGCTCCACCTCGGCGTAGCTGTGGTGCACCGTCCTCGGTCGGCCCTTGCTCCACCAGGGCGGCCCACAAGCCGCCAGGCCCAGCAAACAACAGCCGAGGAGCCAAGAAGCAGCTCCGAAGTACCTCCACGAGACCCGACGCCTCCCCTTGCCAGGCGGCATCTCCCCGGCCCCCCTTCCCTGCGCATCGACCGGCCCTCGTCTTTCTGCGCAGCTGCACGGTCGAGCCAACAGCAAATCGGCCCTTCGGATAAAGCTTCGCGAAGCCACGTAGCTGCCTATACTTCTCATGCGTTAGAAGTCGGAAAACGACCGCTGCATTTTGCTAGGTTTACCAATAAACATTGGTGGTGTGATGGTCTGCTAGGCGGAGCACTTTTTTTTTCCTAACGTTGGCGGTCCCCGGTTTTCCTTGCTAAGGTTGGCGGTCCCGTTTTGGTTAGAACTACTATGCACTGCAGCATTTCCTATTGTTTTGCATCTAGCTATTAGGCAACTGCAATTAGCAGGGTGGCCTTTTGGGCTAGGGCTGGGGGTGGGGTTGGAA